TTAGACCATTGACCTCGCGTCCCTTCAAAGCCGGGACGGAGCACGCCGGGTTATCACCGGACCAGGCTCTCACATCACCAAGCGCGAAGCGCCGTGAGATATTCGGCGAGTCGCATGAAGGGTGCGCTGCATCCTGCTAAGGGTGTTCGGCATCTTGTGCTTACTTCCTTGCGTACGGATGACAGCTGCGTATGACTAAATTTGTTTTCTGGTGCTTTCACTTCCAGAGACAGTTGTAAGCACTGTGTAACTGCCTCGAGGGTGCTTGACCATTTTAACACAACGTGGTGCGATCATCCCCCTTGCGTGGCGTGAGAGTTCTCCACCCCGCACAACATGATCTACTCGACCACCATTATGGTTACCGCCCAAAAAAAAAAAAAACGGTAACCTGGTTGCCGAGTTCACGAAGTGAATTGGCGTGTTTTACAACGTCGTTGCCAAGCGACGAAAACCCAACCCTGATGGCAAACACCGGGGAGGAGAGGGGGGCTCTCTTTGGCAAAATTGTGTGATACCGCCGGTTTCCCACGGGCCGGTTGCTTTGTGCCCTTTGGAACGGGAGTGTTGTCGCTTGTGTGGCCGCGGTTTCCTGTGTTCCGGGTACCATGTGGCGCGGTGCGGAGAGGTGTCGTCAAGCATTTCCGCCATGGGCTGGCTGTCCCGTTTCGTGAGATATTCCTTGCCAGCGGCAGGAGACGTAGCAGTGTTCTTCCATGGGTAAATATCCACGGAAATTGAGACTAGGCAAACGCCATCACATTCGCGACCAGCGACAATTTTCGTATCGATCTCTCTGCGCGCTTGCTGTCCTTACAGCTCCCTGTTCTTGACGCACCCTGCAAAGAAAGCGGAGCAATTCGAATCGCTCCGACAGCAGCACGATGTTTGCATATTGTTTTTTTTTCTGGCAGGTTCGAAACTTTCGTCGGAGAGGGGGGGGTGCAGCTCTCTGGCGGTCAACGGCAGAGGATCGCGATCGCACGCGCGGTGCTTAAGGACGCGCGTATTCTGATTCTGGACGAGGTGCGTCGCGGTGATGAACTCCTAAGCCTGTGTCTGTTTCGTCGCGGGGAGGGGTCTGAGCAAAGTGAGAAGTGAGAAGGGGTGGAAATTGATATGCGGGCAAGAGGGAGACACTCACAGGGAGTGAAAGGGAGGGGGGGGGTTGTGAACAAGGTGAGAAGGGGTGGATTAGATGCGCCACGAACGCGGGAGACATACACAGGAAGAGGTTAAGAGAGTAGAAGGGGG